ATAAATTCCACAAAGCCCAATGCATGGATTAACTTCTAAACCCCATTTTCCCCCCTATTTTGCCAAGATAAAATTGTATAGGTACTACCAATGAGAAGTTGGCTTAATGTCTTGAAATTCTAAGAGTTCACAGTCTGAATTACACACACCATTTGAAGAATGGAATGGAATGTCTGTACCTAGAGATTCAAGCCCTTCCTCACCCAAGACAACTTGTATTTTCCACAAATACATAAACGTATATGTGGCTGTAATCAATTCACTTTGGCCAAGTCGGTAATGTGAAACTAAAAACAATTTTGCTTGCAACATATTTCAGCAGGGAATTGATAATTGCCTTTAATTGGTTGAGGAAAATGACTATTGGAAGCATTTTCTAATTGATTTTCTTTAATCTCACACAGAATTCCAGGAAACTAGTTGTTACAACTAACAACAATACATTGAGTACAGTTGGTGTCATTTTCATGGTCCATAGCTCTCCTCTTTTCCTTCTTTTTTTTTTATATATATTTTTTTCCTTTTTCAATTTCGGATCCTGTATTGCAGCTCAATTTTATTTTGTTAGATACATTGTTCTGAAGTCTGAACATAATTGCATGTATTATGTCCCTATCTCCCTTGGTGTTGCATCCTATGCTTGTGCCTGAATCAGTTTCTCCTCATTCCTATGTCTAATTCTCATAAAAAGTTAATGAAACAACTTTGATACCTCAATGCGTAACTGGGATCATAAAGTATAAAATAATAAATTCTATATTCATTTTATGAAGTTTATAACTTGATGGTGACGGAAGGGAAAAAACAAAACAATCTATCTCCCTGATACCATTGTAATTGTCACATCATTGGAGGATACGATATCTTGACCATCAAAATTAAAGTCTGCACCTATAGAACTCCTCATGGAAGTATAAGTTGGTTGTCAAGGTACTGGAAATGTTTGGGATTCTCTTTCTAGCATTAGCACTACAGATTCAATTTTTGGTCAAAATACTGCAGAATCCAGCACACCCAGCGTGCCTACATGCAGCATTTCATAACTTCATTAGGATTACATGTCCCTAATGGAAGCACCATTGAGCTTCATTGGCTTATTTTCATTCCAAAGATTCCATGCCTGAAACAAGTTGAGACTCTATTATTTGTGTTGCAGCTCTAGTTGCTTGTAAGAAGTGCAGTTTCTAGTTTGAGAGTAAGCTAGTCTAGATAAAAACCGCATACAGAATTATGTAATCAATCAGGCTGGCGTGATCCGATGAATGAAAGCTAGCGCTCTTCTAACCACTCACAATCTCCAGTAGTACACCAAAGCAATAAACATCTCTCTTTACAATAGCAACGAATTAGGATTTATGTAGTACAAGTTCAAAGGCCATAGAATCTAATAACAATCAGCAAATGATGATGATTTGCGCCAGCAACAGCAGCAATACAATAGCAACAGACTAATTCAACATTTTTCAAATTCATATATTTTGGAATTAGTTTTTTTTTTTGTTTAAATCTAACAGCTGGTTGTCAATAACAATAACAATAACAGTAGTAAAAGAGTGGGGTTTCACTAATCCGAAGTTACTGGCCTTCAGCAAGTGACATAGTAATCTCACATTTGGGGCATGGATTATTGTCTTTAGGTTGATCAAATTTTGATGGATTATGGAACGTAAAAAAGGGTTCTTTTGGTTGCAGAAGCTCTGTTTCACTGCTTAGCATGGAAATTACAGCTGCCATGGTTGGCCTATTTTCAGCATGGTCCTGAACACCAAGAAGAGCAACCTATTTGGACCTCTTTACTTTAGTTGAGGAAAATGAGTCAGCCAGCGCATCATCAATTAAGTCTAGCTCCTTGCCTTTACTCCATAGTTGCCATGCCTGATACAATGTAGTATGGGTCAGTATTAATTTAGACGGCACAAATAATGCAGAGATGCAAATTTGAAACAAGAAGTGCAGTACTTACATGGGAAAGAAGGCTTAGATCGATGTTCATCGTTATAGAGGAACCTGGTAACCTTGGAACTAACAATCTCTAATAGCAGAACTCCAAAGCTAAAGACATCTGATTTCTCAGAAAATATCCCACCCAATCCATCCTCAGGAGAAATATATCCATTGAAATTTATGTGGATGACAGTACAAGCAAGTTAATATATTGACAATATTTATTGTTACATAATATTTATATCATAATTATGTTGACTGGATTCATATTATAATTTATTGACATAATTAGGTTAATTGATTTTGTACCATATACTATTCTCTTGTATAAACCTATAAATAAGCATCTTGTATATTTAGTGAAATTAAGAAAGAAAAAGTTTCTTTCTTCATATATCTTTATATTTTTTTTCTCTTTATATTTCTATCATGGAATGAGAGCCTTTAGGCTTTTTTTTACTATTACTGTTCATTTCCTTTGTGAGTTGTTGCTTTGCTTGTAGGTGGTGCCGATCATCATCATCTTTGCTTTCTTTCTTGGACTTATTTGCAATTGGGTTTTCTAGATCCTGTTCCTTTGTTGCGCCAACAATACGTGTTACTCCCACGGCCAGTGTTGCTCTAGTCTTCTCGCATCCAATTGTCACTAATTTTGCTCTTGATTTCTTGCAATTGAACTTCTGACATTACTGTTGCCCAGATCCGATATTGCCTCTTTCTCCTCCAGTGACGTCGACTGCATCGATCTACATATTCAGTATGCAAATCTTTTCACCAAAAGCTCACTTTCTTGGATGCTTCCGGACTCTTCTTTCCAAACTCAAGTTGGTCTTCTCATCACCATCTTGAGTTTGAGGAGAGATATTACAGAATATTCATATCATAATTATGTTGATTGAGTTCACATTATAATTGATTGATATAATTAGGTTAATTGATTTTGTACCATAGAATATTTTCTTATACAAGCCTATAAATAAGTACTTTATATATTTAGTGAAATTAAGAAAAAAAAATTTCTTTCTTCATATATCTTTATATTTTTCTTTTCTTTATATTTCTATCATTTATCATTAGCTAGTTGAAGTGTTGAACCACCTAATTTCTTTATTCAACTTGATTCCATAACTCTTCATCGGTGTGACGTGTGAGCTAAATCTATTTGTGCAAGGAGAAAAACTAACGGTTATGAGTCAGCTTATTTGTATTTGTGCACTTTTTGTTGCCAGTTTCTTAGGATAATATTTAATTGATGAAGAATAATAGTTGAATGTGTTCAAGAAGAAGAACTGTGCTTACAGTGTTCCAATCACCTTTTGAGTATTTGACGGATACTGTGTCCTTTCAAAGATCCTTGCCAATCCAAAATCTGAAATTTTTAGGTTCATTTTTTTATCTAAGTGAATGTTGCTGACCTTCTAAACACGGTGTATAACCCTTAAACAAGAATCACGATGGAGATAAAGAAGCCCACGAGCAATCCCTTGGATGATGTTGAAACGTTCTGCCCAGGATAGTTACTGCTCTTTTTGTTGGATCTAATAAAATGCATCCACTGGAAACATGATTAACAACAACTCTCTTTTGATACAATATGTCAGAAGTTATCAGCAGTATTCAGGACCTTATGGCGAAGTTTATTTTTTTATTTTTTTATAAAAGGATCCGCACAAATTGTTAAAGAGAAAATATATCTATAAAAGTCTATTGAATTTTTAATGATTGATTTATTCTTATTGACCTCTGTATATTAAGTGATTTGTTCTAGTATTTTAATTTTTTTATCAAAAAAATATGTTTTTAACTTTCTATTTATAATTATTAATATCTTTTATTATTGGCATAATTCTTTATAACGGATACGATTTATTTCAATTAAATATTTATTAATCATGAAAACAAAATATTTAGAAAATTAATGACCTACATAAAAAAAATAAATTAGTTATTCATTTACTTGGAAAACTAATGACAAACTTTCAGCTCTCATGGTATAAAAATAAAAAATATATATGTAGTCATATAAATATCGATCAATTACTCTTTCTTTTTTTGGCAAATAACACAAAGTTGAACTCTATTAAAAAAGATTGGATGTAACTAAGTTTTTTTACTAGTTTATTTAAAAATATATGAAATAAATTTAATATTTATTTTAAATAATGTTTCATATATTTGTTAAAATAATTAAAATATTTAAAAACACTAAACGAAATCGAATATTTGTTAAAATATTTCATATAAAAGAAGCGCTAAACCAAATGTTATCCTTTATTGAATAGAATTTTTTTTTATCTTCTTCTTCAATAGAATATTAGCTACAATCCCATTATATAAGTTTAATTAACAATTTATAACAATATGTTTGGATTGTAAAGAATGGAAAGGAGAAAAAAAAATTATCTAATTATCAAAAAAATTGGAGCAGAGGGGAGGGAAATTTTTTTTTTATTTGATTAATGCAGACTTTATACTATTACATGCAACCAACATCCTGCATTCACTGTTACATGCAGCAAATAGAATAACCATGCATATTTGATCCCCATCTATAAATAATTGTTTCACGCAAATTATTTTAGCTTCTATAATAAGTTCTATAAATTCAAGTAACTTAACAAATAAATTGAATATGATTCCAGATTGCATTCATTAGTTCATATAAATTGCCATGTGTCCAGATTTTTTTTTTATTACTTTTCTGGATATTGGATAATGGTTGATTAAGTTGAGGATGATGCTTTTGAGATTAAATTTTGCACTATCTTTTTATGTATATTACCAGAAATAAATTGAATTTCTTGATGTTCATATTGGATATAACGGTTGACTAAGTTGAGGATGATGCTTTTGAGATTAAATTCTGCACTTTCTTTGTATGTATATTACCAGAAATAAAATGAATGTCTTGTTCTTTTTCTATTGATAAATTTAAGGACTATTAGATGTTAATGTGAATTAATTGATGCAGTATGTAGACTGTAGTAGGGTTTGTATAGTTCTTTTAATTAATAAAAGAACTTATGTTTGTTGTTTTTATTTTCAAATGTATTAATATTGATTCATATTTGAGTGGGAACCTTTTCACCTTAAAGTCTTGTGTATGTAATCCAAGGTACCTAGAAGGCTCCATTGCAAAAGATTATTTAGCTCAAGGGTGCTTGACATTTTGTTCAAGATATCTCTTGGGGGTTGAAATTAAGTTCAATTGACTAATGCGCTATGATGATGATCATTAAAATAGGAGACCACTAGGGAGAAAGGGTAAACAAGGATTCTAGGTGAAGAAGCAAAAAAGGGCTTCTCGAATTGAGTTAGATGACCAAACACGTATACAAGCACATAGATATGTGCTGTTCAACAATGAGAAAGTTGCTCCATTTCTAAAGTTAGTCTTTGTTCTCTCTTAAATATATAATTAGTTTTTATATACCATATCCTTTATTGAAATTTGCAAGTAGGTGTCAGAAGGAGGTGATTATGAAACAAAGGCACTCAACATCACAAGATTGACAAAGTTCATTGCCAAACCTTTAATGTTTGGTTCAAAGAAGAGGTAAGTAGCACATAATTTGTAATTAATTGATTTCATGCTATTACCATTTTCAAACAAATTTAATGAATAGGTTAATGACTTGTTAAAGAAAGGAAGTGCTGAAATCACGGTTTGAATCAAATGGCTTGCTCATGGGCCAAACAATAAGGCTAGAAGATACACAGGTTACATGGTTAATGGTTTCCAATTTCACACTAGGGAACGCGAGAGATCATTGAAAACTTAGAACAACAGTGTTGTTGTGATAATGAAAGATCAAAGCTATGATAATGAAAGTTCAAAGCCATGATAGTGAACAACTTGTAGAAAAAGAGATTAACAACTATGGAGTATTAACTGATATAATTGAATTGAATTACTGCGGCATGTGTAAGTTTGTGCTTTTTAGATGTGATTGGTTGATATTACTAGAGGTTGCATGAGGGATAATCTCAGTTTCACTCTTGTAAACTTTTCATGTCTTACCTATAACGGTAACAATTTACTTGATGATCTGTTCATTTTAGTATCAAAAGTTGAAAAAGTCTACTATGTTTAGGATGAAAGGGACAATGGCTAGGTTATTGTCAAGCCAGCTAAGTTGAGAGATGTTGTTGATATGGGGCTACAATGTGGTGGTTTATCAATTAAGGATAACAATAAAGATTTGACTTGGGTTAGATTTGATGTTAATGATGATGAAGATAGAGTTGATGTCATACCAGAGATGGAAGAAGAGCAAGTGGGAGATGATGAATTGGTTTTGGAGGATTGAAAATTGACTACTTTTAGTTATATTAAGTTTTTTTTTTTTTTTTGTGATGAATTGATGTGTTTGCTAATATTAAAACTGAATTTGCTACAGAAAACCTTATTGACATTGAATGCTTTATATTTGTTGAGCTCCATGCTATTTTATAACGATTCTTGTCTTAAGATGTGTTTGTTGAAGTATGGATTTATATAGTTGATGTTGATTTTAGTAAGTTCTAAAGGAGAATCGAATGCTAAAGGAAAATTATAATGTATATATAGAGACATGTAAGATAGGGATGGTTAAGAAATTGTGGACTTAGGATGCCCCAAGGATATGACACTTTTTATTCTAGATTTGTTCTTTTGGGCAGTCTAGCAATTTGTTGCATTTTTTTTTCTTTTATTTGAAAAAGAATGTACTATATGATTTAAGGTAGTTTAGAAATTTTTTTATACTTTTTTTTTTTTTGTATTCCGGCTAATTTTTTGTTCTAGCTTAGCATTAGAAAAGTGGAGAAAAATTAGTCCAAAACATTCTTGAAACACTAGTTAATTTATTGTTAATTTTCGGTAATGAGTTTATATTTACAGTTTTTGAAAAATTATAGGTATATGTTAGTGTTATACACATAATTGTATGTAACTGAAGGTCTAACCCTTTTGTAGACCTGCGGTTTTTTATGTGTGTGAGTAAATTTTAAATTCATATATCCACGAACTACACAATGTAGCTAATAGCTCCTCTATGTACCTATACCAATTTAAATTAAGTATATTCTAATTTTTCCTATAGTTTTTTTATGTGCATAATTATAACTTACATATATATCTACAAACTGTAAACCATAGCTGATAAAACCCTATACCCATGAGATATTAAGTGTAGGTTAAAAAAAGTGTAGGTATATGACAAATATGCTGCAATGGTTCCTCAATTCATCGCTAAACCACATAACACTTCAAGGCTAAGAAATGTTTATTCTAACAAGAAAATGTAGAAACTTTTCAAGAAACCTACCTAAACATACCCTTTCAAGTCTCTATGCCTTATTTTACTCCATGGCTATCCATCACAGGAATTCATGTTGATTTCATACACACATAAAGCCAGAAGCATATTTCTTTATTCCTAATTGCATAAATGACTTGATAAATACCCATTTCCCTAGTATATTAAAGAAGGCCACTTAAGATAATTAAACCAAATCCTAAAATTTCTCATAACTTAAGCTTTATTTGTTGAAAAAAATATAGCTTTCAAACAATATCAAGCAAAACCCACAAATCTTAAAACCACACAGAGAGAAAGCAAAAATCTTGTTCTTGGCTAATGGCTATTGATAACTCACCTCATAATTTCCATTTGACAAAGCTAGAAAAAAAATGGTAGCAAACCCAGCAGGTCCAGGGTCCTTGAGCACGAGACCCTTACACTAGTGTTGTTGAGGACCAACATTAGGATATAACAGATATCTAACAAGGGAAAAGAGTAATTGTGATGGAGATGGTGAAGGATAGGGAAGAAGGTGTGAAGCTGGAAACTTTACTTTACTTCATGCTTATTGCCTTAATGGCTTAATCCTCTCATGGGTAATCTGCAATTGGTTTGGCATGGTTTCAAGTCTACTGTCCTTAGCAATGATGGGCTAATTAGGCTTTTGGTTAGAGGGC